ACCGCACCCACAAAAACGTAATTATGAGTTTAAAGATGGGAAGAGAAAATTATGACATAACTTTAGAGAGAGGGGGGAAAATATAAATGTATCTGTTAACTACAGTCAAGAAGATCATAAGGTGTTTTATAATCTTTATTTTCCTTTCTTTTTAATTTGTTTTACTATTTTCTATTTTCTTGTCTTTCTTTTCTTGTTTTTTGTTAAAAAGTTTCTCAATAAAAATTATATTTTTAAAAAATCATTTTATCGTCATCACTATGAAAGATGTAGTATTTGTCCAGTTAAGATTAGGAAGTGTTCTTGGAAGTCTGTGGTTCTTAAGGACAAATATTAGTTTTTTCATTCACCAAGCATTAATAGAGCAAATCTGCTTTCTTCAGGTGCTCAGTTTGATCTTGAAGCTTGGCCTACAAACCTGTTTCTGGAGATTTGCACCAGAAAGCTTATTGGGAAACAAAAAACTTGAGAAAGGATGGTGTAGTTTGATATCCCAGTAGATCTCATCACTTTAATACTGCTTTTTTATTTTTATTTATTAAATTTATATGTCCTCTCACAAAATGATTTTTAATGCTTTTTTTTAGTCTGATATAGATTAAGATATTGAGGGACTTTTGATGCAGTGAATTTAAAATCCCAAAGGAGACTGTTTTTTCTTTGAAGATGTTTCGCTTCTTATCCAAGAAGCTTCTTCAGAGCTGAAGAGGTTTCTTGGATAAGAAGTGAAACATCTTCAAAGAAAATCCAGTTGCCTCTTGAAAAAAAGCACCCTTTGGGACAACCATGACCTGAATGACTGAAAATCTCCATAGACAGTGAATTCAAAACTTTGGCTGCCATAACCATGGAATAGCCCATCTGGGACTTTCTCCTAACCCCCATTGCCAAGAAAACTTCTAGCAAACTTCTAAGAGTTAGAGCTACTCTCCTTGCATCTTTATTTAGTGACTTAATCAGGAATTTTGGAACTTAAACTATTGGGTTTGTTTGCTTGTTTTCCAAATTTTAAAAATAAAAATAAAACAAGGTGAAGCATAAAACAGGTATGGGGAGAACAAATCTGAAGCTCCTAAGTTACAAGTTTATTTAAATCTGGTAATGATCTATGGCATGTTTTTCTTTTGTGACTTGTCCCTAATCTAAAATCATGCCTTTTAAACTGCTGTGCTTCTTATATAATGCATGCAAATGGCATGAGAGGGAAACAATATGACCAAAATAGCAATCTTCACTCTGATTTCATTAATTAAGTTCACAATTGTGGTTGATTTTGGGCAAGAGGAAGTTTAAATACATTTTTAAAATGTTCAGCTATAGAGTTTCAAAAGATAACTTAACTCACCTTAATTCTACTGTTTTGTATAAAGTTAGAGAAAGGGGAATTTGAAATAACCAATTTTGATACATGCTCAAAGTAAATCTGTTTTAAATAGTGTCAGATGTGTATTAGGATAAAATTTGGTTTTTAGAAATTCATCACACAGAATGCTGGGCGGTAACGGATTTTATTGAGACAAGAATATTTGCATGTGTATAAAGAAGATCTTTTTAAAAAATAACAATAATAGCTGTAAAAAAAATAGCAAGCATAAATGTAATTGTTAATTTTTTATGAATACATTGAAAGCAATTTAAAAGTAAACAACACATCCAAAGCTGCTATGGAGGAAAAGTAACAAAAAACAAATGGTTTGGAAGTAGAATATTCTAACACTTCTACCTTAAATATCAAACTCCCTAGCAAATAACATTTAAATGTAAATCTGATTTTCAATATCTTCTGTAATATTAAAAATTAAGAAAATATTTCTTAAGCCCAAGTCAAGTGGGAGAATTTAAACTGTACCTTAGAACTTCTGGCCTTTTGTCAATTATATTTACTCTAAATTGTGAAAGTCTGAGCTTCCTCTGTTTTGGGGAAAGCTATAGGTACCCTCAAACTAGCTCTGCTATACTGTTAAAACCTATAATAGCTTTTTATGGAGATTTTAATAAGACAACATGAAGAAAAAAGTTGTTTTAGTTGGTGGTGGTTTTTTAAATTAGAGAATACTTATTAATTCAATTCCTGGAGGGAATATTTCTTGTCAAAACTAACCAAACACAAAGATACTATATGAAAACAAAGAGTGTTATTCATTCAGTTCATTCTTCACAGATTCAGGTAAAATTATATATCAATTTTACTAAACTAAACTAAACAAAAACAAAAATTTAGTGATCAATAAATTGTAACAAAAGTTAAGAGAAAGAACTGGGAGAAATATTTGAGACAGTATTATATTTATTTAATTTTTAAAATCAGAGAGAAATGGACTTTGTCTTAGGGAAATATAGCTGAACCTCTACAGTAAGAGTAAACATAAAAGAAGAGTATATCAACATATTTTTATCAGGATTAAAATCTGGAGAGAAAAAAGGCTATTAAATCTGTTTTAGTTCTTGTATTGAAATCCCAAATTTTCCCTTTGAAAAAGAGAAAGGTACTGATTATTAATTGAGTCTTTAAATGGACCTATATGGACCTTTATCCTTGGAATAGTGTGCATTTATTGCCTAAGTAATATGATATTAAATGAAAAAGAAAAGAATAAAAAAATAGAATTATGAAAATAGTAGATATATAGTAATGTTGAAAAAATGCCTTTATGGTGAAAAATTAAGATGAATTATTTGCAAGTAAATGCTATACAGCAGTATTCATGCAGCATTATTTAAAATGTTATGAGCTGTTTTTGGAAATGAATGAGCATTTCTTCAAAAGGAGAATTAGCAACAGGATATTTCATTGGGTTTTTTTAAAGGAAAAAATAAGTTTTTTCAGCTTCATAAAAAGATATCCTGTAAAGACTTTTTATTTCCAAATAGGTTGCAGTGATTTCTTTTTTTAAAAAATGGAGAATATTAAAATCTGCATAATTTTTTTAAAAAGCTTGTATTGGTTGTGTTGATGAATACTTCTTTCCATGGCCTTGCATAAATTACATAGATTCAACAGTTATTGAACTTTTTTTAAAAAAATGTTCTTCAAATATCTTCTAAATAGCATTTTGATTGTTTTATTTCCCTCCCTTCCTAGAAGTAGCATTTTTAAACCTTTTGAAGACCTGATCATATTTTAAACATATATAGGTTTCCTGTATTATATCTGATTATATGGCAAATTTATTGTTACATCTCTTTCAATTTACAGAAGACATTCGAGACCATCATTTCACAGTATGTGATTGGAAAAAATGTAGGCAGATTACAGGTAAACTCTATATCGCTATTATTTAAATATTTTCTTGATTTGAAAAAAAATAGTTGTACGATAATTCTCTAATTTTAAATTCGCTGCTTTTATGATATTAAGCTATGCAAATCTCTTTCAATTTTTGTAAAATGTTTCAGCATTTTTCAAACTAGTTAATGATGATAAAATTGTTAAATATGCACCACAAGTAAAACAGTTTAATATAAGTTAAAAAGAGCTTAGCACCCTGAAACTGTGTTTATGTAAGTCAAATATATTTCAGAATGCGAATATTTAAGGGGAATATAGCTTTAAATTGTAGAAAAAGGAATTATAAACATAATTCTTAACAGTAGAGATGTATTACAATTTTTCAATAGATTACTTCGAGAAGTAACACTATCTACCAGTCATATTTCCTATGTAACTTTTAATGGAATGGATATATTCAATGTCTCTTTTGCAATTTTTTATTAATTTCTGTTGGATTGTGTGTACAAAATTCCCAGCAAGTTGAATAAATATTGTTTTGAAACAGATTCATTGAAAATTGGTTACGATGTAATGATTTTGATTTGCTGTGTTTGATGGCAATACTATTCCATAAAAGCAAATTTTACAATACAGAAGGTACACAATTTAACTTATATAAAAGATTATTGTATTACAAATTTAGCATTCCAGACTTAATATTACAGATTATTTTGTGCCATATTTATGGGATAAGAAGTAGTTGAGAGTAGAATGCTTTCTTGCACCTGAGTAGGTTAGCTGATTATATACTATAGGTTATTTATTCTATTGTGATAATAAAACATTATGATTATGAGAATTTGAAGTTTATGGATAATTATATTAGGAAAATAAATATAAAATAGAAGGCTATATATATTGTTCATATTGTTTCAATACAAAAAATTAAAACCAAGGAATTTTTAAAAAAGATAATGCACTGTTTAAAAATAGTACATTTTTTTATATTTCAGTTCCTATAAAATATATTCTAAAGTATATTAGAAAGTGTAATTAGTGGTCTTCATTACATTATTGAAAAAAACAAAAAGAATTCTACCAGTAGCTGAAAATAAAGATTGTAAGGAAATCCTATCTATATACCTTACCAAAATATTCACTCTCCTTTTTAACTTCAATTTCTAAACTATCTGGACAATGAAATTACTTGTACTTTAAAGTTCATGTTATGTTTCCTCCCTCTTTTATTTACATGTAAAAATCACATGAAGTCTTTGCTCCCTTATTTGTGAAATTTTGGAAAAATAGACATGCACAGCTGTGTTAAAGCCTTCAATTATATTAGTAAGATAACATTAACTGAAATACTAATATCAAGATAGTTTAGTAAGTGTTTTTAAAAACTCATACTCATACATGATAAGTTCATCCATATATTGGGCAGATGTATGTCCCAAGAGAGAGATTTTATATATTAAATATGGTATAACTAAGTCTCTGATGTTTCTGGCTTATTTACAGTTCTTGTGTTCTGTGGTGCTGTTCATGACTTTAATCCATGTATTAAAATGAAAAAAAAATCTATTATTCTGTTTAAAAGTAAAAAACATAAACAAAAAATGTGCTATAGATCTCTAGTTGTTGAAAGGGTTTTAAAAAATAGAAATACTGAAATCTTTCCTGTTGAAATTGGGTGTTTCTGTGGGAAGTTTTGTGTAAAATTTAACCAAAGAACTACTGCTTAAAAAAATATGGTAAATAGATGTACCACTGTTATTAAAAACTTGCATTGGCTTTGGAGGTTATATTACATATTAACAGTGTGATAAAACAAAGAATTTAGATTTTTCGGGGATTACATATTAGTTTGAAAAAAAAACCTGTTTTAAAATTGAAAGCGTAATAGAAGTGTTTTATTTTACTCAGCTCCGTGGCAGCACTTTGTGAAAGAAAGAACGAAATAAAGGAAGGAAGGAAGAAAGGAAGGAAAGAATAGAAAACATTATTCTGCTTTGCTTTGATGGATTAAAATAAATGATAAATAGAAAAAAAGCTACACTGACAGTAAGTGAATATTTTTCAACTACTTGTACAAAATTAAGTATTGCATGAGGAATAGATTGATTTGAGATGTTTGAATTTATTTTAGAAAGCATTGACCAATCACTTCTTATGTAACTATAGTATTAGGCCACTAAAAGTCAAGAAAAACTCTAGCCATATTATAGTGAATATTGCAGCACAAACTATAATAACTGGAATGGCTCTTTTGGGGGGGACAATGATATTTTATCGATACTCAATAAAAATAAGAAATATGTTTTTCAAAAAAAGAAATGTCATTTATAGTTATAATTGTTAAGGCCACTCTATAAAGATGCGCTTCATGACCTATTGTGTTTCTTTTAAAATACTGTTTCAGGTTGCACATTTTGTTTGTTTTTGTTTATAAAACTAATTTGTTGGCTTATCTAATTGAAAAGTCTTTGAAAAACAGTAGAAAACCCTACTAATATTTGGAATATATAATTCTCTGTTGTATAGAGAAATAATTTATTTGATGTTAGAGGATAAAATATTGTGAATCTGAGAAAGAAAATTGACTACTTTAAAAATTGCTAGGATGATCAGGTTTAATTAAAAACTATAAATTCTTTCTTTCTCTAAGGTACACAGAAGGATTATGTATAGAAAGTTTCTGAGATTTGCACAAAAAATAAGAAAAATACAAATCATTCAGATTAAACTGCTGATGATTGCAGTTGCAGAACTATTATTATTTGCTAATATTTATTCCTAATATTATTATTTGTGAGCAATGGTATATATTGTTTGCTTAAAATTCTCAAGGATTTCTTTGGAAGTCCTGTTCGGGGGAGGAGTGTGAAAGATGCAGGCGTGCGTGTTGGATTCCGGCAGGTGAATGTTTTTAAGGTATCTTCCCCTGCCAGATGCTGGCACTAAGGGAAAAGGACAAACTACGGTAGATAAAATGGACCGTGGAGTTTGGTGGAAGAAAGTTAGCTGCGGGTAATAAAAGGGTTAACCAGGGCGGTGAGCAAGTGCAATATGGGAGTTGTAGGCTATTAGGATCCTGGGAGATGTCGTAAAAGTCTCTCGCTTCCTCTTGCAATGGCTTCCTGCAGACAGGACTCAGAACGTTATTCTCTCTAATAAAAGCTCGTTTTTCACAAATCTCAGGACAGCAAAGTGCGCACAACTAAAGCGATATAGGTCTCAGGACAGGTTGCAATTAATTAAGTAGCAAAGTGGGTTGGAAGAAAGAGAAGAATTGATTTAGACGTCTCTCCGTTGCCGATGCAGATGTGATGCTGCCTGTTTTGCTGACTTGAGGGTTTGTTTGTTTGTTTGCTGGCTTGGTGTCGTTGGCAGAAGCTCTGTATTTTTGTTTCATTTCCCAGGTTTTCATCCTTGTGGGTATTTTTCCCCCGTTTTTTCCCGCTTTGCGCGTTATTTATCGGTATATAACTATATCCCGTTAATCGCGTTCCCCTTTTTCCTTTCCAGTTTGCGCTGCTTGGAATTTCGCGATTGGAGCGAATCAATTGAGTGGGATTATTAATGTGTCTTCTGTATCTTTCCAATGTGGGTTCATTGCGGTGTTTTTGGATGCTGTATTGTGCTAATTTGGATTTACAATATGTTGGTATTCTAAATGGGCGTTCTCTATACCTTAGCAATCTTTGGAGCCTGACTTAGATTTAGAAAAGGCATTGTAATTTAAGTAACAGAGTTGGAAGGGATCTTGGAGGTCATCTAGTCTAACCCCCTGCTCACGCAAGAAACCTGTACTAGGGATTCAAACCACCAAACTGCAAAGCTCAATGTCTTAGCCACTGAGTTACCTAGCCAGGTGATGATCAGCCATACAGCATTACACGAGATATGAATGTTGAACACTTAAAAGTGATTAGTTTCACTTGAGATATGAAGCCCCAGAACCTATAAGAAGTTAGGAAGAAATATTTTCCTTGAGGAGGCTTTTCCCCCCTGAAAAACTGGATCTTTTCTAGTTCTTATTTTACATCATTTGTAGAATGTTTTAAGAGGTAAAGAAAATTAGCCTAAGTTTAAAAATGCTCAAAACAAAAATTATAAAAATGTAGAGATTCTTAGTCAGTGCAGGAATACCTATTTTCAAATAAAAAATTGTGTTTTAAAAAAGAAACAAGTACTAGAAGCTGTTTATAGGATTAATAGTTTAGATTTACAAAATAAAGCTGGCTAGACAAATTTATTAAGATGGGTGTCAAACTCAGGGTGTCAAATTCAGGACGTCATGTGACGGATGGGGACTTTCCCCTCACTAAACCGGCCATGGCCAGGTGTGACACATCTGACCCACGGGTGTGACACATCTGGCCCACAGCCCTGCTTAAGAAATACTAATTGGAGCTTACAAAAGCCCTCCTGATCACATCTGTATAAAGTAGGAAAATGGCTTTGTATCAGAAGAATTAAAACTGTAATACATCTGTTTCAATTTCCCAGCAAATTTCCAATTTTTTGAAAAATAAAGATTTCCAGAAATTCAAGTCCTTTATTTCACATGAAGTTCCATTCAAACAAAGCATCAAAGTGTGATTCATGGATGCCTAGGGTGCCTCCTCAAACCCTCTCAGTCCTCTGCAAGATCAAAATTATTTTCTAGGTTCTTGAAAAATAATACAATATTAAAATGCCATAAAATAATTATGAAAAGCAGTATGGTGGCACATATGTCGATTTTAATTTTCCACATGGTAAACATCAGTAACTGTAACCCATACAAACAAAAGCTTTGGTTTTCTCCATAATTTTTAAAGAGGGAGGTTTCGTGAGAGACAAATGTTTAGGATATTCTAATTTATTGACACCCCTTGTGATGCAAGTAGCTGTCTAAATAAAAGGAGCCTCCCTCTTTTATAGTTCCAGTTTTTCCAGTCAGGCCAGTATATCAAATTAGTGGATGTAGAAGAAAAGAAAGCAGAATCTGAATTGCAAATAGTCCATTCTGCTGAGTGGCACTTAAAATTACATATTACACAATAGCCCTAAATTAAGACTTAACTTGAATTCAGGACATACTTACTGACCTGGTACATTTTATTAAGGCATGATGGTCTAGCGAAGGATATAAGAAGCATTAGCTAGAACAATTATAAAAGCTAAAAGGCCAAAATAGTCAGATAAAAAGCAACTTCACTGGCCTCCAAAGAAGAAACCTAAATATTTTGGCAACGATCATGTTCTTAATATAGGGCGTAAAAATGCTTTCCGTAACTTTTAAGAAGAAAAAAATAGGATAAAGCTATTTTAATCAGAACACGATAAAATAAAGTGGCACCAGATAAGTTTCTTTTGGAAAGATATGCCATACATTTAAAAACCTTCAGTAAAAAAAAAAAAAAGAATTCTATGAGGTTGTTGCCACGTGTGTCTCCCTTCGGCTGGCAGACATCTATGTTCGCTTAAATTTATAACAGCAGGCAAACCTCCAACTACTAAATGCCAAGTCATAAGTAAGATAGTCCTCGACTTACAACAGATCATTTAGTGTCCATTCGAAGTTACAGCGGCACTGAAAAAAGTAACTTATGACCATTTTTCACACTTATGATCATTGCAGTATCCTCGTGATCATGTGATTTACATTTGGATGCTCAAAAACATTCTTATTTATGACGGTTGCGGTTTCCTGGGGTCATGTGATCCCCTTTTGCAACCTTCTGACAAGCAAAGTGAATGGGGAAGCCAGATTCACTTAACAACCAAGTTACTAACTTAACAAGTGCACTGGCTCACTTAACTGTGGCAAGACAAGTTGTAAAATGGGGAAAAACTCACTTAACAGATTTCTCACTTAGCAACATACATTTTGGGCTCAATTGTGGTCTTAAGTTGAGGACTACCTGTAGATTCATACCTGTGTTTCCGGTATCCCTGCAATAGATAAATGGCATGCATAGTTTGCAGTTAGAAA